CACACACAGGCACACACATACACGCACACACTCACACACACACACGCACACACACTCACGAATACACACACACACACACACACACACACGCGCGCAAAGGACACCGAAACAGTCGTAGCCCTCGACATGCACACCCCCCCCACCCTCTCAGATGACATTTCCCCCCCCGAGAAGGCCCCCGAAATGGGTCGTATGGCCGTACGTACAGCCTGCACCGCTGCCTGAGGGCCTGTATGTATGCCCGTATGGACCATACGGACGCCCCGTATTCGTACGGCGTGTTACACAGCTTGAGGTGGTGAGACAATGTATAAACAACTCGATTATAACAATCATTTTTTAGTTCAAAGTAAAAAATATCTATCTCATGGAACCAATGAAGTAATGTAGGGGACTACGTGGTTTGATCTTTGATCCATGTCAGAGTCTCAAGATCTGAAAACACTTCAAAGTGACATCCCAAAAGATATGCTCGCATCCGTAGTGAGTACGCATGTTAGTTTGAAATCTGCAATGCGGAGTACAGCGCAACTTACCAAGGCCTCTTTCAAGGCTTGAAATGCAGTCTCACTTGTTGCATCCCACGCGAAGGTACATATTTACTTGTTTTCCGGGACAACGGGCAAGCAACAATAAAGAATTGGGCCACAATCTTCTGATAGTAAGATTTGAGACCGAAGAAAGAACGCATGTCGCGGATGTTTGTGGGTTGAGGCCAGTTGCACATGACCGCAACCTTGGTTGCCTCAGGCTCGAGGCCTGCAACAGACAACCGATGCCCAAGATAGATGGCGCTATCCCTCCCAAACTCATATTTGTCTAAGTTGAGATAAAGTTGCATTTTCTTGAGGATGGTGAACACTTCCTCAAGGTGCTTCATGTGTTTCCTCGATGAATTTGCTGAAGATCATAATATCATCGAGATACACCACCACAAACCGACCAATGTGTTCGCGTAGGATCTTGTCCATACTACTTCATAAGGCTTTGAAAGGTGGTTGGTGAGTTCGTGAGACCGAAGGGGACTACGGTAAATTATAAAGCCCATCGCGTGTCTTGAATACAATCTTCTGCTGGTCCGCAGGATCGACTTCAATCTGGTGGTATCCAGACTTGAGATCGATCTTGGAGACGATCTTGCACCCACCTGCATCATCAAGGTAGTCATCTTTGGGTGACAATGGGTATGGATTCTTTCTCATGATGAGGTATGAATCCCCCCGAAAGGCGGCCACACGCGGTCGAGGCCGCGCCTACGGCCTAGGCCGCGGACCACGACGGTCAAATGAAAAGAAAAAACAAAAAACAAAATTGGTTCATAGTTTTGCCCTGTGTAGCACAGCGAACATGTTCGGAGATTTTGGGTATGGATTCTTTCTCGTGATGGGGTATGAATCCCCCCCAGAGGCAGCCACGCGTCGCCGAGGCCGCGTCTGCGGCTTAGGCCACGACCCGCAAAAAAAAAACAAACTTCGTTTATAGTTTGCCCTATGTAGCACACCGAACATGTTCGAAGATTTTATGAATGTCCGAACATCTTCGGGTGTTCGGCCAAACGCATTCTAAACGTGTTCGGCCAAACATATTGAAAAAAAAATAATAATAACTTTTTCTTTTAGATTTTTAATTCGAGTTTGGTTACGAATATAAGCAAAGCTCACTAGCAAAAGTTATCCATAATATTATTTTACATAACATATAGTTTTTTCAGATTTTTCTGACAAACGTTTTTTTTTTCTTTTTTAAATATTTCTATGTTCGCGTTTAGAGGGTTTTGACGCTCGATTGCGTTCGGTCACGAACGTTCAGGTTAGATCACCGAACCTGAACATGATGCTACATAGGTTTTGCCTTATGGTCGTATCCAAAAAATTACTGAAGTTGAAATTAAAATCCACATAAGTTTCATAGTTTTTCTTGAAAAAAAAAAGGTGGCGTTTTCTTTTTTTTTGTCTAAAAGAAATCCTGAAAATCGCGGTTGCACACCCAATCGTGATCGGAGCCACGGTGGCCGTGATCATGGTCGCCTATCGAGTTTGACCCCGCGACCGCGGCCGCGGGCTATGAATCCCCTGCGGCGGCGGACAAGCGCGGCCAAGTCCGCGGACGAGGCCGCGAGGCCGCGGACGTGTCCACGCGGACGCGCGGCTTTGGCGCCACGTGGCGGCCGCAGGGGGGGGGGGGTCGGGATTCTGGAAGCGCCATTGGGCGGCGAATCCCCTGCCCCACCCCCCTACACAAAAAAAAATAAAAATAAAAAACAACTTTTGGTTGGGGGGTTTGGGCTGCCGAGGAAAAAAAATGAAGAAAAAAAAAAAGAAAGCGTTTTTTTTTTTTTTCGTTGATTGATTGATTGATTGATTAATTGGTGGGGACGGGGTCGCCCCACCCCGCCTGTGATGGATTGATTGATTGATTGATTGATTGATTCGATGTTGGTTTTTTTTTTTTTTTTTTGTTTGATTGATTGATTGGATTGATTGATTGATTGATTGGTGGGGGAGGGGTCGCCCCGCCCCCCCGCCACCAACCACGTGCGCGCGCGCACACACACACACACACACATCCGTAGTAGTGAATATTTC